CAGGGGTTGAGGGTCATGCATAATGCATGGGAGGTGTGTATGTATTCCTGTTACTGTCATCAAAATTATTTATTGTTAGGGGGACATTAATGCTGATTGTGAGAGGAAAATGAGCAACTATTAAACCCAATGAGTTTACTTCCAACTTTAAAAGGATGACTGTACTAAATGAGAGTTTGCCACATTTTATTTGAACTTTTTGCTTGTTGCAACCAAATGACTGACATTACAATAATTCTGCACTGATTTCCCCTCATTTATTCCCCAAACCAACACACAGCAGGGGTTTAATTAGAAAGGTAGTGTAGCTGAACAGTCAACATGCTGCAGCTTGGAGTGACTAAACACTTCAATGCAGTATACTGAGCCGGCCGAAGATATAAATAAAACTTGCAGCTACTTGGCAGCCTTCTGATGGGATTGGGGATGTTATAGAAGTTTTTAATCCATTAATTTTTTTTAAAGGAGCAAACATGGGGAAGATAAAAGGGGATAAAAGTGGCTTATATGCTCATAGAGGTGCACCCCTCCCCTCACCCCTTAATGAAATTCGGTTGAGGGTTTTACACAACCTTGAGCCAGCCCTGGCAGTGTATAACTATTTAGTTGTGAACAAAAAGCAATTCCTCCACCATAACTCCCAACCAGCAATTTGAATGAAGGAGGTGTTCATGCATGAAAAAAAAAATAAAGGGAAAAACTTCCTGTTTTGAAAAAGACAAAATGGATAAAATTAAATGATAAATGCAGCAGCTCGTTTTTAATTTAAGCAACTTCTCGGGTTAAAGAAACCGCTCTTTCAAATGTACAACACCACTCCTCACCCACACACAGACACAGTACTCATGAGATTTTGTACTTTTTCCATTTAAAACGAGTGTGTTTGTTGGTGTGGGGGCACATGTGTGTCTAAGACGTCAGGGAAGTGAAGACGGCCTGCCTTTAGTGTCCAGACGTGGCAGATTGTGACCTTATCAATGTGAAACTCTTAAGATAAATTATTCATTGCACCTGTTTGATGTCTCTGGCCAAAGAATGACAAAGGTGTAACATTTAAGATGCATCTCAAAGGCATGAATACCAGCCACCTTGCAAAACCTGGCTTTAAAAAAAAAAAAATTATCTGAGGCAACATGGAGGATTGCTTTTGGAGATCAAAAAACGTGACAATTAAAACACTGTTTTTTAAGTGTGACTCACAGACGCTGCACTATAACTCAGCTGCAGTAATTTCATCATTCATTGTTCAAGGTGCAGCGGCTGTCAGCCGTCGCCCTAACATGATATGACTCACAGGTGTCCTGTGTTCACGTGGGTCACGGCAGCAGGCCCACCCACGTTGTCACTGCCTGCTATATCTTTCCTATAATTTGAAATATGAAGCAGAGAGTTTGCGTGAGTGATTTGGTAGAGCTAACCTTGCTCTCTGTAACCTGTCTTTGTTTGTCATCCCGCAGGCTCACAGCGCTGTAGCTGCAGGAGGCGTCCGAACAAACGCCGAAGGAGGACAGAGATGCTGGAATGGGGTTTTCCTTAATGCTGTTTGATTTTAGGAAGAGCTTGTGCCTATTTAGCAGGATAGGGGTTTATGTACTGGATAAATTGAGGATTAAAATTTGATTCATCCTTATTGCCCTTTGGAAATCCCATTCCCAATTTTTATATTGGCTTCTTTGAAAATTAAGATGTGGAAAAGAGTGTGGTTTGATTTTTCTGGGAATCTAACGTCAGCAACTTTCATAGCAGGAAATCAAAATGAAATTGTTTTGAAGTGATAGTGGTATTCAAATGTAAAAACCTATCATGGACTCTACTGGTTTAACTGTGACAAGATTAAAAGAATCAGTGGCTAAATAATAGCTTTACAAAGTTTGTTTATGCCCTTTACTTGTAAGCACATCAGTGACATGATATGAAAACAACACAAATTTCCTTAATATCTTCTAGAAATGCACCAATCAGAATTTTATGACAATACGGAATTTCAACTTTGGTCATTTGTTCTGATCTACCAATAAAATATATATTTTTTTTGTATTACAATTTTTCTCTATGACAGATCATAGAGGAATAGTGTCGCTTGATGGAGATAGGAATTTTGAATTCAACAGAAAGCAAAGAATTAAAAAAATAATCAAACATTTCCCACTTTTTTTGTTTCTATCAGACCTCAAAAAGTTCCTCTTCATGGAGGGTTTAAGTTGACGTCTTTATGGAGTGAAAATGGTGTGAGTTTATACCTGTGGTAGTTTTAATGAGTCAGGGGGAAAAGTCAGATTTCTTGTTATTTGAATACTGTTTGATCATCGAACGCTAATGGTAGAATAACTTGATTATACATTGGGCAGTGGAAGAGCTAACATCAGTCTCACTTGATTTCAAGATTTAACACCTTTCTTTGAGTCCGATTCACAATTTTGCATTCATTTTTTTCGTTATGTAAATTATTGGACTCATTTCACGCTTTATGGCTGGAAATGACTCGGGGTATTCCACAGCACAAAGTAAGAGACTGCAGTTTGCTTTAGCCCCATAGCAATAGATCAGGAAAAACAAGCAGAGAATGGACATTATTGATGATTTGTGCAGACGGACCTCAGACGATCTTGAATTATGTGTGAGAGCAAAAGATAGACACTTACACATTGCTGTGTTTACTTGGGTCTTGTGTATGTGTGTAGGTGCGTGTGCGTGTGTGTGATAGCCGAGTCAGTTTTCCCTCAGATGTTCCTTGTGACCTTTGACCCTGGAGCCGGGGTCAAACCCTGACAAATGAGACGGTTGAGCTCTGAGCAGAGCAGCAAACATTCCACAACCATCTTCTGTCCTCCTTCTCCTGCTCCTTATATCATTCACCCCTCTTTCTGTCTCTCTCTCCATCTCCTCTTTAACTGCGACGGGAGCAAATGAAGTTTAAAACTAATAATGATGATATTGGATAAGTTTAACATGTGCCTTTTTATATTAAACCAGAGAAATCATTTGATCTGAGAGAAGTAAATGCTGCTGAAGAGTTGAAATTTTACAACTATGCACTTTAACAACACACTCCCTGTTGTGTCTACGAGTGCGTGCGTGTACGTGCGCACGCACACGCGTGTGTGTGTGTGTGTGTGTGTGTGTGTGTGGAGAGACTGTCAGTGATGTCAAGGATGAGAAATGTTGCTGTGAGGTTTTTTTACACACGCTGCTGGCTCCAGCATTTCCGGCAACATTTCTCACTCTGCCTCCCTCACACCATCCGCTCTCCTGCAATATCCCCACATTTTTCCATCCTTTCCGTTCTCTTCCCTGCACCCTCCCCTCCTCACTTTCAGTCCCCACTTCAAACTTCCTCTCCTTGTGCCATCCTACTCATCCTAATCTCAGCCCTTTTCCTTTCTCTCTCTTTTTTTCTCTCGCTCGCTCTCTCTCTCACACGCACACTCTCTCCACCCACTATTCTCTCTGATTTTCTTGACACAGAATGCAACCACCTGTGTCTTTAGGATGAATGTGAGGAGTTATCCACCTTACTCCAGTGAGAGCTGGTTAAGGTAAGTGGGTTGTTGTTTATCCTACATTTTTTTGAATGAAATTGCTGTAACAAGCCTAACTACCCTTTACAAATGCTCCAGCTACAAGCCACTGCTGCGATAACTGTGAAAGCAGTTGTCTAATTATGAACGTCAGCAGAGCAGCCAGTGTCGGAAAGGACATGCAATGCAGTAAGACGGTGTAACGCTATTGAACTTGTACATTGATGTAATGTAACAGTTACTGGAATGCAGTTCCACACAGCACATAATCCTAATAAAAAAAATTAAAAAAAACCCAGCAATATATGTACGTGTTTGTGTGTTTTTTTTCCCCCTCCCTGTTTCTACTCCCACTTGAATTGTGATCGCATTTGATGTAGGCTGCTCTGTGATTCATTGGAGGGTACAGCTGCTTCACATGCCTTTTGGACTGGACAAAACTGTCTCCTCACAGGAAAGCTTGATCACATGTCTCAATCACACAGCGAGATCTGAGCTCTAATTGGCTGCGCACTGGGGCATCACCATGGCGAATCTGAGTAGCACGCATGCAGCTTTTTGATTCGGATAGTAAGACGGTGGTGGCGTATGGGGTTGTTGGGGGTCTGATTGAGGGTGAGGGGGGTCCTTTTGAGTAGAAAGGCAGTGAGTGTCTGGCACATCTGTGAGCAGGACCACCTGGAACCCAGTTTGCCGTTGTGATTAACCTCAATGCACAGTGTAAAGCATAAACAGTGAGAATTGTTCATCTACACATGCGATAGCAAAAAAAATACAAGAGGAAATGGTGGAATGTCCTAAGAGCAGCCACTTTACTGCCTGATATACCAGAATGAATAAATTATAAAGCTCTCACCATCAGCAAACAACTTGCTATGATTAAAATAGCCAGCAGGGGACAGAAAATAAGTGAAGAACATGTAGAGGCATTTCTATGTAATCACAGTCTTGTCTATGTCCGTAGTTTGGTCCAGCTGATTGTTTTTTACACCATCTTTTCTTCTTCCTCCTGCTCAGTATGTACACAGGGAGCTCAAGGGTGCAAAAGAAAAGGCTCCGAAGCATTCAATTCGCCGCCACCACCCACTGTTGTCCTACTGTTACCGAGTCATGGATGTCTTCCCCTATCCCCAAGGGATTCTGCCCCGTTTGCTCCCCAACCCTCCCACCTCTTCCTCAGCTAGCATGCACCCAGCTACCCATCCGCCAATCTCTTCTCCTCCTCCCTGCCTTTGCTCCCTTATTCAGCGTGTAAAAGCGACCCCTGAATGATGGATTACAGTGTCACTGCAGCCTGCGAAGGATTAATTTGTTTCATTGATTTCTCTTTAGGCAGAATGCCAGCGTCTGCCGCTTCCCACCTTTTTCCCCGAGACTCGCTGCTGTAATAGACGGTAATGGCCTAAGACAAATCAACCCCTTTTCTTGTAAAAATAGCACCAAATAACCCAACCCACCCTAACAGCTTGCACTCTACTTGGAAGCACATCAGGTGGTGGTGGTGCAGTGGTGGTGGTGGGTACCGGGAGAGGCCGGGGTGTGTGTGTGTGTGTGTGGTGGGGGGGTCTGTTCAATTTATCCTCATATTCAGTTTCTATCACTCTATCTGGCTACGTTTCGGTACCACCCTCCCTCTTCATTCAGAGCCGAGGCCAGAGGAGACCATCCTGTCGCTTTAACAAAGCCATAAGTCTGCCATACTTACTGCTCCCTCTCAGGCTTCACAATGGATGGGTAATGGCAGCGCTGTCTGGAGGGGGCTGCGGGAGTTGGGCCATTCTCTCCAGTAATGGAAGCTGTTACTGCCATTCCTTACACACCTGCAAGAACAGCTAACTGCTAACCACTGTGATCTATTGCAGAGGCCTCATTGCGCCGGGCTAAGGTTGAAGGGTTGTACTGACACCAGTGAATTAGGGCACATCCTTTCCCCCTCGCACCCCTGCCTTCGCTTTCCATTTCACACCAAAACCTATGGAGGAGCAATGGAGATATTTCCAAGCAAATCTATAGCCTCAGAGTCCACATTGGTGCAGCTTTCAGCCTCACAGACTGGCGATCTAGCTTTCCTGACATCCGCTGATTTAACACAGACATAAGATGCTGTCACATCTTTACTACTCTGTCACTGCCTTGAACGATGGGAAATCCAAACTGCCTGTAACATTAAGAACACCACTACAGGCCGACTGTCCTTGAATGCTTTCCAGTCCCGCAGAGATTTATGAGCTGAACCGCATCCATTAATCCACTGTTGATTTGCTGTGGCTACCCTGCGGGGTTTTTGGGGATCAGATATCATACAGTGCTGAAACTCACCCTGTCGTGCAAGACGGTGGAAAGCAGCTCTTTTACAAGAGCTGGAACAAAAGAAATGAATGGATAAATTTAAAATTCATTGCATATTCCACAACTCTGCATGTTCAACCTGATAGATACGGGCTTATGACAGAAAAACACTGTCACTTAGATTATAAATGAGAATGTAAAACAGAGTGATGAGCCATACAAACCTCAGTATGGGTGAGTGAGAGCTGATGCACGATGGAATAATGACCCAGGCTTAGGGGAAATCTCATTGGCTCCCTGCAATCAATTTAACCATGTTTACAAAGCCACAATCTAAGGTTTGTGGCTGAGAGAGAGAGAGAGAGAGGAGGAGAGAGAAGGAGAGAGAACACTGGTCACCTGGTGCTCTTCTGGTTAAGCTGGCCTCTCTTGGGTAAACCCTCCATAAAGCCCCCTCTTGTCTGACACCACCAGGCCCTTCAAACACTCCTCTCAGACAGGGGGGATTAGGTAATCTCGACATGATACTGTCTTTTTCTCCATTTCTATCATTTTCTCTCCCTCTCTTTGACGCTGGCTCGCCTTCCCCTTCATTCTCATACATTACATCCCAACTCCCTCTCTCAAGGCTGTTGAAGAGCTTGTTCTGCTCAGGAAACATCTATCCTCGGGGGCCCTTACGATCTTAAGTGCCTCTGGAAAAGGTTAGTTGGCAGGTAATTGTCCAGTTGTGGCTCAGCTTATCTTAATTGCGGGTGCTTCAGTGCAACCTATACTTCCGTTAATGAAGAGACTTATGTGACATAACGTTAGAGGACAGGATGATGGGATGATGAAGGTATTTACATTTTTATATGCGTTTTCTTGCTCAGTTTTTGTGTTTTCTTCCTCCTGAATTGCGCCCTTGTGTATTTTAGGAGACGCAAGAGGACGGAGCCCAGCAAAAATATTTGCTCCCCTTTATTGCATTACAACCACAAGTCTCATTGAATATCGAGGGGATTTTACATGACAGACCAACACAATGCAGTACATAATGTGAACAGGAATTAAAATGATAAATGGTTTTCAAAGTCCCTGAAACTTGAAAGCTGTGGTGTGCATTTGTATTCAATCGCCTTATCCATGTTTTCCACTTGTTGACTGTATCTCCCACATGGATGCCAGAAAACAGCAAATATGATTGCTTTCTATTTACAATGGATTTCTTGTTGCTACTCTTCTATATTTGTGGAGTGCCTGACTTATAGCCGTCCTGTGGGAGCTGCGGATCTCTGCAGCTGCCACAGAGTTTCCACCTCTTAGCTAGTAGCGCCGGTCTGGTGTGTTTCCTGATCTTCATGACGCTGCTTGGTCACTAATGTCCCCAAGAAGAACTTTGAAACCTTCAGTCCAATTAAAATCAATTCAGCTAATTTCTAAAGTACCATTTCACAACATGCCGTCTCGAGGCACTTGACAAAAAAGGCAATTCAATTCAGTCATACATACATACCAACTGATCCTAGTTACGAAACAGTGCAATCAAATTCAGTTTATTCTTCAAATTGTTTAAAGGATTTCTATCTAAGGACCCCCAGCAGATTGCAATGAGTAACTGACTTGCAGTGTTCATTTCTCCAGGATGAGCACATAGCAAATACAAAAGCTGTATTTAAACTGAGTATACATTTTATACATGATCACTCCTTTTAGTTGGTTGTGTAATCTTTTGGTTTTAAAGGTATTAGGACTTTCAGATGATCATTTGTAAAAAAAAAAAAAAAAAAAGGAAAACCCCATATGATTTTAACTCTACTTTAAAATGATGTAGAGTTAAACACGACCTCCGTGTTTAGGACAATCCCATTATATCCTAGTAAAATACACAGTAATTTTGCAAGGCGCTGCACTTTGAGCTTCAACAGTTTCTAACGTTCTGAAAATGTCCCTCGGAGTGTTGCTGGGTAGATTTCATTAGAACAAACTCAGTTCTTTGCAAAAAATCTATTGATTCTGCACTTGGACAGTGACAGAGGGAGTGCTGACCTCGTGGTGTTAAAATCCAAACAGCGAGGGCCTCGGCAAGTCCAAATCTATACTTCTATTAGCCATCTGATCATATGTATATCCATGTCGATGGGAAGCTTTAGGGGGTTAGTGTTTGCATTGCCTCAGTCAAAGGTCATGACTGACCAATAAAATATTTCTGGTGCACCATCAATAACTCCGACATGGAGACTAATACAGTATGTGATTGTGGGCAAGGGAAAGCTGCTGTGCTTGCTTTGAGCAGAATGGGTGAACAAGAGGCCAAAAGGTGACCGGACAGACTTCAGCTCCCTGCCCCTGCACCCTCTCGTATGTGCATTTCATAGCAATAGGGGCAATTATAAAGGTATACTTCAGACAGGTCAAATGGGAGAGGGCAAAGTGCAGACCCTTTAAAGCACTGGCTGGAGTCAAAGGTTAGAAGGGACAGAGGACATCATAAGGTGCCCCTGGGTGTGGGGGTAATGGATTCAAGACAATAAAGACGCAGACCAATGAGAAAAGAAAACATGTTTAAATTATGATTCTGTAGACAAAAACGCCAAGAAGCTAATGCAATCAGAAATGAAATCGAGAAGTGACGACTTCCATCACTAGTAACTACATGGTGGATTTATGTTGCCATGTGATAAACTGTATGTTGTCTGTGGCGCCATCAGGCTTCATGGCTGTTAAATATGAATAGCCCAAGGTCACAGAAGGTCGTGGCTTACATTTAGCTTCAGTGACCAAATCCAAATGCAAAGGTCAAAGTGGAATTGCCCGAGTTGCACCAAAGCAATGTTTGCTCATCCCAATGTATGCATCGCACTGGCAGTGATTTATGGAGGGAGATAAATGTAAGGATGGGAAGAAAACACTCTCTTTCTCTTATCCTGTCAGACTCGGTAAATACACTACTCACTCATATCAATCACCATGTCATGGTATATCACCACTCTTTCACAACGACCACTGTATGCTTCCTGCTCAGATTAAAAACCGTCTTTGGCTCGCTCTGCCTTCTCCCCTCAACATCTGGGGAACACAGGAAATATTGTTGCATTTTCACACAAAAAACGTCTGCATGTCTGCATTACAGAAACCTTTGGGACAAAATGCACACGCCTTTTTCACTATGAAAGGTATGCACCTTAATTAGGTGAGAAAATCACTGCCTCTTCCGTATACTGCCCCTTTGCTGTAATTCAATTCTGAGCCTTGAACCTAAAACATCTCATTCTTCTCTAATGAGCTTCCATATAAAACAACAAATAACAAAGGGATGCGATTTCATAAAAAAATTCTAGAACATTTAAAGTTCTTCATTTGCATTGTCTCATAAAAGCATTTATTTCCCTTAAAGTTTAGCACATTTGGTATTTTTTTAAATTGCACATTTCAGAAATGTCAATTTTAGATTTTAAGCAACATATTAACACAAAGTAGTGAATGTTTGTAAAGTTGAAAGAAACAATGTGTGACTTTTAATATTTGATAGAAATAAAACCTAAAACATTTGGAGTGCATTTATAATCACCTTCCTTCTTTTGTAGAAACACCTTATGTGATTTCAGCTGTCTTTTGAGACATTTCTCTATCAGAGCCGTCCGTCTTTGTAGCATGACTCAATTCAAAGAGAGCGTCTGTGAACATCAGTTGTCAAGTTATGCCTCAGATTCTCCACTGGATTAAGGTCTGAACTTTGACTGGGTCATTCAAACACATGGATATGCTTTGATTTAACCCAGAGGTCTCCAAGTCCTCAGAACCTGGTGGAAGTTGATTGCATGCAGAGGAAGCAATTCAACCATTTGTTTCAGGTGTGTTAGACCTCTGAAAATGCACCCGCCCAAGAGAATAGAGTAGTGGAGTTTGATCCAAACTACAGTGTTAAAATTCTGACTGGTGGCCCTTGTCTACAGTTTCTGATCTTTTGCAGGTTCAAACATTCTCAAAGCACTGTAGTGCGAGCGCCATGTTTCAATGTGGGGATGCCATGATCAGGTAGACGTATGGTGCTAGTTTTGCATGTAGGTCTAAACTTCCATTTTTGGTCTTTCCTAACCAAATCACCTTCCTCCACCATTTGCAGACCTCTGCTAGCTTTCTTCGTCCCACTCTTTCATAACGACCAAGTTTGTAAAGTGCGCCATGACGATGTTTTGGTTTGCTGTGGTGTCATTTTCCATTTTCAGTTCATAAATTGCACACTGCCCTGTGGGGCTGTGCTATAAACTTCTCCACAACTTTATCCCTGTGGTTATTTTGGACATTGTGATGCTGCTTGTTCACTCATATTCTCTAGAAAACTTCTGAAGCCATCAGATGACAGCTGTATTTATACTATTTTGAAATTACGCAGACAGACTCTTATTTTCTCTTATTAACTCAGTAGGTGTTGCCTAAATTCAGTCCGTTGCAAAGTATTTAAAATACGATAATATGTACACTCTTGACATATTAGAATCAGCTGTTCTAATATGTTTTATGCTCTCTTCAAAAACCATTGCAGATTACAAGAATTTTTCTCTGGCATGGGCAAATGAGCTTTTTTTTGTGTTTTTGCAGGAGGCGACCGAGTCTGACCGGGTCTGCAATTAACTCTGTATCCTGGCTCTTTGAGGTTTGCGAGGCTCTTGAACACAAATGTCTTCTCAGTGTCTCTTTGGCTCCTTAAATGTGAAAAACAGCCCAGCCGCTGGTACGCCACAGCCTTTGCAAAACTGGCCCCGAGCGGTTCAGAATCCCGCCAGAGAAAAGTCCAAAAAGAAAACAAGCTTTTGAACTGTGGGCCAAAGCGGAAACACGGCCTAGTGGGCCGCTTCTTAACGTGAACCATAAAGATCTATTTCCCTTCCCTTCAATAGCAATACATTTGCTCTTTACTTTAGTAAACATATTGCAGTTTTCCATGCCAAGATTAAAGAGTGATAATGCGGGACACTACGGGCACCAGTGCGCATTACCTGATACTTTCCATTTAGCTCAGCATTAGTCTGTATTTCAGCCTCCTTGAAAGTCCAAGGTTACAAAAACCTACTTGATGCCAGGGGAATTTCATA